TATCAAATCCAAACTCTTCTTCTTCTCACAAGGAGGAAATTGAAGCATCCTTTTTGGTGCACATGGATGGGCAAGGATGGCAGGTGATGCAAGCGGTCAAATGACCACTGAATCTAAAGGAGTCTCGGCCAACTTTGGTGGGCATGGATGTAGAGAGAGAGTTTTATAGAGAGTTTTATTTCAACAACTGAGCCTGAAATTCATCACTCCACATTTAAGGGCAGGTCACAGATGCCATCCATGCTTCAGGAGAGCTCGGTGATGACCCTGAAGGATTCTTCAAAGTGCTGTTTACAAAGCAGACAGAACATTGCAGCAGGTTTTGCAATACTTGTTCTGCCATTTCCCCATACCAGCACACGTTGCGGTTAAAGGAAACTCTTGCCCCAGCCTGGGAACTTTCACTCACCTCTCCAGACCCCCCCACCTGTTCCTTTCTCTCCTGTTAATTCCCTCTCCCTTCCTTGATCCTCCAGCAAAATCAAAATTGGCATCACCTTTGCAGAGCCCACACGCAAACAATATTAGGCAAGTGTGTGGATTTCTCCATGCGAGCGCAGAAAACCTGTAGCGGACTCAGAACCAAATGTCCCTGATTGTTCAGCATTACGAAAGGAGGAACTTGTGCATTTCAAACCGTTAAGATTGCAAAGGCTGAATTCAAAGTTGCAGGCATGGATGGAAATGGTGAAATCCCAACTGTTGACAAGCTACACCTACCGAAACCCCAGATCTACTCAGTCCTGGTGCATCAAGAAGGAGGGGTTTGGAAGCTGCACTATAGCATGTGGGAGAACCTTGGGACCATTTTCAAATAGGAGTCTCTAAAACCCCACCTGGAGATGGTGAGGGTTGAAGCTGGGACCTTCTGCATACAGAACAGATGCTCTGCCACTGTTTCTCTCCAGCAAACGCTGGTCCTCAATAGCACAATTAAACAACTTTGAACTTTGCTGGGGAAGCAGGTCAGGCCTTGATGCATGAAGCCTCATTTTGTGATTTAGCTTGTCCACCTCATTGCTGCAGTAGCCTGGAGCGAACCACGTCTCTTAGCCTTGGTTCCCTTTGTTAGGGTTGCCAGCAGACTGGAAAAGCAACAAAGCAGCCAGGTCGTCTTTGCGAAAAATACAACCTGCAGGAGCCCCTGGGTGTTGGACCACATCCGCACTATCCATTTATAGCAGTATTATACCTCTTTAAACAGCCATGGCTTCCCCCTCTGAGCTATAACACTTATTCATCATGTCCTGCTTCCCACAATGACCTATTAAATGCTTCCAGGAAGCTCATGAGCAGGGTACAAAGGCAACAGCTCTCTCCCACAGCTGCTCTAGGAAACCACTGTCATTCAGTGGTATATTGTCTCGTCTGTGGAGGCTCCATGGAGGTCTGTTTATGGCAAACAGCCATTAGCAGACCTATCCACCTCAAGGAGTGTGTCACCTCCTTAAAGTCATCAGCACACCTTGTGTCAGCTAACATGTTGGGTAAGGAAACCAGGTTAGGCTACATCAATGGTCAGGAAACATCAGTGGTCAGGAATTAAGACAGGGTCACAGGTCTTCCATCCTTGGCCTACAGGACTATGTTCCTGAAAGATTGTCTCACCTCTTTAATACGGTCATGTTGTGAGGATGCCTATGATCGTCTTCCTAAGCAACTACTCTATTCTGAACATAAAAATGGAAAGCGTAATGCTGGTGGTCAGCAAGAGAAGTTTAAAGACACTCTCAAGGCAAATAAAATAAAAAAGTAGTATAAACACCGACAACTGGGGAACACAGGCGGGCAAGCGCTCCAATTGGAGAACAGCCTTTACCAAAGGTGTCATGGGCTTTGAAGACACTCAAATTCAGGACGAAAGGGAGAAGCGTGCTAAGAGGAAGACACGTTTGGCAAACCCTCACCATGATCAACTCCCACCCGCAAACCTATGTCCCCACTGTGGAAGGACGTGTGGATCCACAATTGGCCTCCACAGTCACTTATGTACTCACTGTTAAAACCGTGTTTATGGAAGACAATCTATGAGTGATCATCAAAGAAAGAAGAAGACCCAGCCATCTCTGCCCTCTGCAGTTGAGGACCTCCTGCAGAGGACCTCCTCCTATCAGGAGTTCCATTCTGAACAATAAAGGAACTGGGCCTTTAGTCATAGTGACTCTTACCCTCTGGGTTCCCCCAACCCCAAATGTTAGAAAGGCGTGATCCGTTCTTTCTGGTACCTACAGAAGGCCTTCCACTTCCAACAGGCATTTCAGTTAGCTGCAGCACTAGAATGGCTTTTAAAAATATTTGCATTATTTTATCTGTTGTTTGCCATGCTAGGCAGCTTGGGGAGGAAGGGCAGGAAGTAGATTTACTAATTATCACCCAGTGGGCTCCCATAGTATGTTGGGAATGTACAAATATGACGTCCGATGTTTGCAGAGGCTTCCTACACGAGCCTCTCGTCTCACCCCATGAGTCAGAGATGCAAGAGCAGGCTTGCAGCAGTGACAATGATGCTCCAAAGGTAGTGCAAATATTTGACAGCTGCAACGAGATTCTGATCTGAGTGACAGGAAGGAGCCAGCAGTAAATCACTGTTGGAGTTTACTCTTTATTAGCAAGAACACAAACTGCACCGCCTTGGCAGAGTATCAGGCCAAATGAGCACAGCAGCTCATCCCTCGTAAGTTTTGCCCCTGTGGGTCAGTTGCTGAGACTGAAAGTACCAGCCTCTCCAGTTTCTCCCATGCAATCTGAGACTGTGCCTTGCGTGAAGCCAACCTCTCCTCCACCCTCTTCATGCCTCTTCTGGTTGTGGGAGACAAGCAGGGAGGGGAGCCTGTCGCAGGAGGGGGAGACACCCAAGACTCTTCAGCAGCCGGACTCATTTCTGCCCCGATTCAGCTTTTGGACTTACTCTTCCAGACTCACCCCACCCCACCCGTTACCGCCTCAGCTTCTGACACCACCTCCTCTTTCCAGCCTTCTCCCTCTTACATAGCTGTCTCACCACCAATCCCCGGGTTCCGGGCCTTCTTCCCTCAGGAATTCCCCAGTTGGCTCCTGCCACCGCTCCTCTGTGTTCAACCATTCCACAACATCGATTGTTCAGACATCCAGATAGCGTAAGCACAACTGTCTAACTGCAACTCTTAACCCATTACCTTGCAAGCTCAGTGGCACAGGACAGGGCTATAGGGATGTGGGTGGTGCTGTGGTCTAAACTACTGAACCTCTTGGGCTTGCCAATCAGGTCAGTGGTTCGAATCCCCACGACGGGGTGAGATCCCGTTGCTCTATCCTAGCTCCTGCCAACCTAGCAGTTCAAAAGCATACTAGTGCAAGCAGATAAATAGGTAAAGCTGCGACAGGTACCCATTTCCGTGCCCTCTGGCACTCGTCAGTGTCCCGTTGCACCAGAAGTGGTTTAGTCATGCTGGCCACATGACCCAGAAAGCTAGCTGTGGACAAATGCCGGCTCCCTCGGCCTGAAAGTGAGATGAGCACCGCAACCTGTCACCTCCGACTGGACTTAAACCGCCCACAGGTCCTTTACCTTTTTACAGGCAGGGCTTCCATGTAAAGCCCCCCAGGTTCAGTTGCTGTTATCTGTAGGATGGATTGGGAGACTCCCATAGATCTGTCAGTGTCATAGCTAGATGGGACTTATGGTCCCATCATTCAGCTTTGTTGAGACGTCCGCACAATGGTGCAATCGTTTTAACTACCCATGAAGTGAATTCCAGAGCCAATGTAATCACCAAATGCCGCTTCTCCTAAGATTTGTTCTTCCGGGGGGGGGGGGTGTGGAGCTGCTCCCTTCTGCATGATCTTAAGTCCTCAATTCAGGCACAGCCCTTGTGGCAAACAGGTAGGGCAAAAGGTTAACTAAAGGGCAAAACAGATTCTTTTGTTTTAGCAACAGAAAAGGCCTGCGTTTGGGGTGTGCCAGATACTGGCTTTACACATAGCTATTAGGATGAGAGGGGATCGCATGCACAGGTCAAGGAAGCTACATGGCCCCACCTTTTTTTGTTGTAGGCAAAAGTGGCTCAGTGGAATTCCCACCGTATTGGCTGACCCAGATCTTCCAGGAGGGAAGAGATTTTCTCCCTCTTGCATTAATACTAGAACACGTGGACATCCAAGGAAGGTAAATTAACTTTCATACAGTACATAAACTATGGAACGCGCTCCCAAAGGAGGCAATGGTGGCCACAAATTCGAATGGCTTTAAAAGAGGGCAGGATAAATTTATGGAGAAAGCAATCAATGGTTACTAGCTGGGCCATCAGCCCAGTGCCTTCCAACGCCAGCTTTTCTTATTAAAAGACAGGAACAAAAGCAGTATGAATGCATGCCGCTGCTGCCAGGCATGCACACCTGTGCGCGCTGCATCATGGGTTATATGGTCTCTGACCACAGGGGCTGCAACTATTAACTACATGGGGCCCCAGAACCATCTGTTGGGCCTGCAAGGCTGCTTTGCCCCCAAGCCATGCCCCTGTGCCATACACCTGATGCCAGTTAAGTCTGGCTTGGCCCATACGGAATTTGCAAGCATCGATCAGCAGGTTGTTGGCTCCCAACAAAGCCCTGTGGTTTTGCACTTGTAGTTCTTGGGCAAAAAAAAACAGGTCACCCAACAACACCGGCACGTCAGCGATCTAACAGGCAACATATTGTGGACTTGAACCTTGTGAATTTGTACACAACGAAACACAAATACACAAAATACACGGGCACCAAAGCGGCAGGGTGATGAAAGTGCAATAATTTATTCATGTGAACACCATCTCTGAAGTCTCGGATTTGGCGGTAAGTAAGGAGACATGCCCCACTCCATTACAGAAAACAGATGGGGAGGAGTGGTGAGGAGAGAACAGAGCAAGCAAACTCCATTTAAGTGCAGAGGCTCATGGGCAGAAGTTGGCAAAGTGAAGCAGAATCCAGGCCAGCTTGCATTTCTCCCTATTACCATGCAGGGCGGAGGAAGAGGAGGAAGGCTCTTAATCCACCTCTTCGATGGTGGGGCCTGAAGAGCCACCGCCAGCTCCTCCGGCTCCTGGGAAGCCCCCGGGCATCCCACCCGGCATCCCCCCGGGCATGCCCCCTGCCCCTTGGTACAGCTTGGTAATGATGGGGTTGCAGACGTTCTGCAGCTCCTTCTGCTGGTGCTCATATTCATCCTTTTCCGCCATCTGAGTGAGACAAGGAAAGAAGAGGTACGACACCGTTAAGGATATTCTGAACTTTAACAAGCTCGTCTTTCGTTTCCCATTCTAACAACAGATTGTACATTTTAGATAGTAAGTTTTTCTTTATTTTGTAAAAGTCCTTTTTCAAATCGTGAGCTTTGGTCCGGGGGAAAGCATTTTTCCTGTCTGTTTTAAACGTTTCATATAATTGATGATATTGTAACCAGTCTGTAACATGGCTCCTTACGTTTTCTTCTGATTTCAATTAAGCACCCACCCCCCTTCTGTAAAGTGTAGCAATTCCCTGTAAGTTGCCCATTGTCTATCCATATTAACTCTTTATTGCAATAGCCTCAATGGGAGAGAGCCACAGAGGTGTTTTCCCTTCCAGCAAATTTTTATATTTCTCCCAAACACTATGCAAATGCTTCCTTAGAATATGGTTCATAAAGCCTTTATGGATTTTTGCCTTCCCATACCCAAAGGCATGCATGCCAGCCTTATTATTCAATGGATTATTGAATGGTTTAGTTCATGTAAAATATGCAGGGCTGTATGGCATGCAAAATGAACCACCGAAAGAGAAGAAGGGAAGTCATTGATTTAAGGTTGTTTAAATGAATATTTTGAAATGTAATTTAGAAAATTTAACAAAAATTGTGTGTATATACACACACACACACACACACACACACACAAAATCCTCAGCCAGTTCCCACCTCTGTGAAAGATCAAAAGGGTGTATGCTTTGGCGTTTTGCTCCTGCAGGAAGAGACACTGATTTCTCTGCCCTTCCTTAGCAGCTAGCACTCTCCCCAGGAAACCATGTTTCAGGAAAGTTAGATTTGGCTTTTCAACCAATCTGCAAAGGGGAAGATCTCTATTACGCCAAACTCATGCTCCATCACTCGGATGCTTTGGCTGCCCTCTAGTGGAACACAGCTGAACAACAACAACCCGCGATTCAAAGGCGAACTCAAAATGCCGCAATAAGGTTCCAACAGAAGTGGAACCGACATGTCAGTCACACTTCCACTTGTGCTGTGCCTAGAAAGCATGGGTCTGAGCAATTCTTCCACTGGCTCTGCTCCTGTTCCAAGGAAAGATCAGTGACAGATCAGAACCAACAGGAATCCGAGGGAAACCCGAATTGCATTTGCTCTGATTGAGCACTCAGCAGCGCTTTTCCCCTGTGGGGGAGCCGTGGAACAAGAGAAAACATAAGCCCTAAGTTACAATTCCCAGGAAAACCTGCAGAGAAGCCATCTTGCATCTACAGCAGTAAACAAAGCCTCGCTCGCCTGTAGTTTGCTGTGCTATACCAAGGCAACTAAGGTTGTTTATCACTGGAGATCTGAAATCCAGTAAAAAAAACCTCCTTTTCTGCCATCACACATTGCTTTATTGCAGGCATGGGGGAGCACTGTGGCCCTGCAGAAGTTGCTCCCATTACCTCTTACTGTTACCCATCTGGCAAGGGAGCTGGAGTCATAGAAGCATAGTGTCACAGAGTTAGAAGGGACCCCAAAGTTCATTTAGCCCAACTCCCTGCAATGCAGGAATCTCTCAACTACAGCATTCACGACAGATAAACATCCAACCTCTGCTAAAAAAAAACCTCCAAGGGAGAAGAGCCCACGACATACAAAGTGCTGCAGGTTCCTGAACCTCACATTATCATTTTGATTAAAGGTAAAGGGACCCCTGACCATTAGGTCCAGTCGTGGACAACTCCGGGGTTGCGGCGCTCATCTCGCTTTATTGGCCGAGGAAGCCGGCATACAGCTTCCGGGTCATGTGGCCAGCATGACTAAGCTGCTTCTGGAGAACCAGAGCAGCGCACGGAAATGATGTTTACATTCCCGCCGGAGCGGTACCTATTTATCTACTTGCACTTTGATGTGCTTTGGAACTGCTAGGTTGGCAGGAGCAGGGACCAAGCAACGGGAGCTCACCCCGCTGACCTTATGATCGGCAAGCCCTAGGCTCTGTGGTTTAACCCACAGTGCCACCCGCGTCCCTTCATTTTGATTATTATTTATTAAATCTGTATACCGCCCTTCACCCACAGATCTCAGTGCGGTTCAGTGTAAAACTGCGATATAAAAACCGCAAAATACGTAGTAGAAATAAGATCCGAACCTCCTCGATTGCTTACTGTATGTGCCTCATGCAGTCCTGTTTATCTTAATTTCCCCCTCCTGCCTCACTGTGGCTTCTTTTCCAAACAGGAAGTAAATTTCGAGACAAGGACCGCCGCTGCTCACACCTGCTTCCCTTTGTAAGCTCACCTGGTTCCTGTCCAGCCAGGAAATGACCTCGTTGCATTTGTCCAGGATCTTCTGCTTGTCCTCCGGGGACAGCTTGTCCTTGAGCTTCTCGTCTTCTGCCGTGCTCTTCATGTTGAAGGCCAGGGACTCCAGGGAGTTCTTGGCCGTGATCTTCTCCCTCTGGATCTCGTCCTCAGCCTTGTACTGCTCTGCCTCTTGGACCATGCGCTCAATCTCCTCCTTGCTCAGGCGGCCTGCGGCATGAGAGAGAAGCCACACAGGTCAGGGCAAACTGCTAAGCCGGGGGGGGGGGGGGCTGTCTGCAGGTTATCTGGATGGCCAATGCTCAAGGATGGTAGGAGCTGGGACAGAGCAATCTGGCCACAGGTGTCTCCATGCCTGCTCCAAATATACTGAGGCTGACGGGATGACAAGAGACACATCAGTATACTGCAGGCCAAAATCCAGCCAGTATACTAACATTCACTGGATCCCAATCAAGGATTGATTTCCCCCAGTGGAAGAGGGAATAAAACTTAGGGGTCATCCACACCTCTGTTTCTCCCATGATTTCTTTTTTAAAAGTTTTTATTTATACTTTTCAAGTTTATACATTTCATTAGTTTTACAATTAATTTAACATTTCAATGTTTGACTTTCTTCCCCCTCTTTCTGCAGTTCCTTAAATTTATTTTTTAACATCTGCATATCCAAACTCATTTAATTTGCTCCTTTAATTATCACCTTTAAATATATACTCTTATGAAACTGCAGGTTGTTACAATAATCCTGTCAATGTTTCTACCTGTTTGCAATTTATCTGTAAATACTCAATAAGCCATTTCCATTCTTTTATAAATTCCCCCTTGATTTCTAGTCCTGGGTCTGAGTTGGTTCTTTTTCCTTTAATCTGCAGAAAACCCGGTGGACATTTGTTCCAAATCAGCAGTAAACAGGGGGGTTCCCAGGGAAAGTGGCAGGACAAAAAAAAAGAAAGACAGAAAAAGAACCTCTCAGACCCGTGACTAGAAATCTTGTGGGAAAGAGACGTGTGGATGAGCACATTTAACCCTCCAGACTAGAACTGAAACAAATCTGGCTGCATTCAGGCAGCACTTCATTCTGTCTTCCCCCATGCTTCCTAATTCCCACATGTATTTAGGCGCCAGGCAAAAACATTCCCTCTTCTCCCAGCCCTTTGGCTAATGAAACCCTCTATGGCCTTCTAAATTGTGTGTGTGTGTGTGTGTGTGTGTGTGTGTGTTACTACACTACGCATTTTTGTGCTTTGATATGATAAGCCGTGCTGTGACCCTCGGACAAAGAAATTTAATTAATAATAATAATAATAATAATATCGCTTTGTTTATTCATTTGCAGAGCTTCACTCCCTATTCCACTGGGCTACTACTGAACAAAAAAATTCAAACCTTCAATGGAATCCAAGCAGAGTTGGCACATTGGCCTGTTTGGGGCATATGTGCTGGTGTTGACTGGGTGCCCAGGTTAGCAACCACAAGGATGTGTTGTGACGGGCAAGAGCCTATAGCTGCTGTGCCCGCCCCCCTTCAGCCAGCATACTCACCCTTATCATTGGTGATGGTGATCTTATTCTCCTTGCCGGTGCTCTTGTCCACAGCAGAGACGTTGAGGATGCCATTGGCATCAATGTCAAAGGTCACTTCGATCTGGGGGACGCCGCGAGGAGCAGGGGGGATGCCCGTCAGCTCAAACTTGCCCAGCAAATTATTGTCTTTGGTCATAGCACGCTCTCCCTCATATACCTATTTGCGAAGGGGGGGTGTGAGAAGGAAGGAAGGAAGGAGAACACCAGGAGGTTAGAAAGCAAAGCTTGGTTCTGGAAGACACAAGAATTACCCACCCGAGAAGAATGGCAGATGAAAGTGATGGACTACATGGAACTGGCTGAGATGACTGGCAGAATTCGAGACCAGGGAGAAGGGTCGATGGAAGAAGATTGGAAAAAATTCAAAATATATCTTCAAAAATATTGTAATATAAAAGACTGTTAGGAAGATGTGGAAAAAAGAAAATTAGGTCGTTTTGGTAGATATGATATAAAGGATTAAGCAAAAATGAGTTGATGAAATTGATGAAACAGAGGATTTTCAACTACATTTTTTTAAATTAAAATACGCAAATGAAAATAAGGTTAGAAGGATTTGCTGGAAATACGATCTGAACTAGAATACAAAATTGGGAGGTGAGAGGAGGTCATGGAAATAAGTAAAGGGAAAAGGTTATGTAAAGGTTTAATCTGTTTTTGTTCTATTTTAACTCAATGCATTTTTATATTTTTTGTTTCGTCTTCTTTTTTACTCTATTTTATTGTTCATTTTTTTTCTTGTTATTTTTCGCTTTGTTATGGTTAAATTTCTCTTTGTATTGTTCTTTTTTCTTTTTTGCAACTTTAAACTTGGAATAAATATTATTTTAAAAAAAGAAAAAAAAAAGAAAGCAAAGCTTGGTTCTCCCAACGCAACCACACCATGCAAGAAACTCGGGGTGTGCATCCTTCCGGCAACTACACAAAACCACCCTTAGCTTCGGTCAACTGAGTCTGCGCCACTGTTCTGGCAATGCTCGGCCTGCTAAATGCAGCGCTCAGCCAGCATCCCATAATGCTCCCTTGCCATGATCACAGTCACTTCCCCTTACCTGAATAAGCACCCCAGGCTGGTTGTCCGAGTATGTGGTGAAAGTCTGGGTCTGCTTGGTGGGGATGGTTGTGTTGCGCTTGATGAGGGCGGTCATCACCCCGCCGGCCGTCTCGATTCCCAGGGACAGAGGCGTGACGTCCAGCAGCAGCAGGTCCTGCACGTTTTCGGACTTGTCCCCGCAGAGGATGGCAGCCTGGACAGCTGTGGGGGAGAAGAGCAACGCAGGTGGTGATGGAGCAGTCAAGCCAACAGACAGGAATTTAGGCCTGGTTTAGCAGGCTCGTCTTATGCTCTTAAGAAGACAACTAGTTTCTCTCCAGTTGTGACCACTGGCTGTTCCAAAGCCCTCTGGAGTTTCCTCCAACCTTAGAGAAATTTTGTAAAACCACTCTGGAGAACTGTAGCTCTGTGAGGGAAGCAGCAATCTCCCAAAAACTCCTAGCACCCTTTGTCAGTTGGCATTTCTTAGTGCAAAAAGCATCAATCTGATGTGTAGAGATCCTTCCTATTCTAATTAATTCAAGAGCGTTCTGGAAGCTTTCTCTGTGTGAAAGAAACAAGCAAAAGGTTCGTGATGTTTGGGTTGTTCCTTCAAAGATGCTGAGTACAACTGGCTTAAGATTGGTTCTCTTATCTCTTCTGTCAAGGTGATGCGGACTATAAAAATAGGCCAGGAGGAGCCCGGGTTTCACCTTCTGTCTTTCATTCCTTCTGGCGTGGTGTTCTGCACCCAGTATGCTTAGTGTTAAGGTTTTAGTCTTATTATAAGTTATTGTAAGTTAAAGTTAAGTCTGCGGCAACTGGATTTCTTATGGACTGAATGTACAGTGGTACCTCGGGTTACATACGCTTCAGGTTACATACGCTTCAGGTTACAGACTCCGCTAACCCAGAAACAGTGCTTCAGGTTAAGAACTTTGCTTCAGGATGAGAACAGAAATCGTGCTCTGGCGGTGCAGCGGCAGCAGGAGGCCCCATTAGCTAAAGTGGTGCTTCAGGTTAAGAACAGTTCCAGGTTAAGTACGGACCTCCGGAACGAATTAAGTACTTAACCCGAGGTACCACTGTATTGGATTTGTGACCATTATGCTCATTTGCCCTCAGTAGCAGTAAAGCTCTGCTGGATGAAATATTAATTGCCTCTGGTCTATTTTTTGGGAATCCTGCAACGTTTAAGTTTTTACTCTGCTAATTGTAATTTGGGATTCTACTCTGGATCAATACTGAGTAGAATTCCACGACACCCTTAACCAACTATAACCCCCAGGGCGCTTTGGGGGAGGCCATAGCTGCTTAAAGGGGCATTGTAGTGCTGGGTGTGGTAAAAAGATATGAGGACACCTCCTGGAAGATCAGAAGAATTACAACCTGCTTCTGTCCTGATGGGGCAGGTGGAAGCCAACGCGATTCTATCAGCATTCCCAAACGGTACTATCAACACTAGACTTTTAATGCTTTGTAGAATTACGTTGAATACTGTGTCCCTAGAAGCCAGGCGTGAAACGTGGCCCTCCAGGAATCTCTACCTGGTCCTTGGGACAGTGCCCAGGCCACAGCCTTTGCTGGCCCCATTTCTGCCTGGCTAGAAATGTATCCTTGGACCCTGCTGACGCTTCTTGCTTTCCTGGCGGGAGTGCGAAGAAACCTCTGGCTTCCACTTGGCTGGAGTATCACCCACTGATCACAGGTAGAGTCATGGCTCAGGACCATATGAACCAACCCAGACCCTGTGAGAGGTCTGGAGGACAGCAACACAAGGGCCTTTTCTGTGGTGGCTCCCCATTTATGGAATGCTCTCCCCAGGGAGGCCTGCCAGGCACCTTCACTACATATATTTAGGTGACGAGTGAAAACGTTTCTCTTCAGCCAGGCCTTGAACTGGTTAACATTATATATCCTTTTAAACGTGTTTGTGGAAAGAGGGTTATCCGTCTTGTTTTTGTTATGTATTTTGCAATTTTATTTTGTGAATCACCTCAGGATCTTTGGATGAGGGGAGGTATACAGATTTAATAGAGTGGTACCTCATGTTACGGACGGGATCCATTCCGGAGGCCCATCTGTAATGTGAAATGCCCACAACTCAAAGCGCTGCGTCTGCGCAGGTGCGTTTTGGCGCTTCTGCACATAGCGCGATTCTGCACATGCACGAGCGGCGGAACCAGGAAGTAACCCATTCCGGTATTTCCGGGTTGCCATGGGACATAATGCAAAAAGACACAGCATGAAGCAGACGCAACCTGAGGTATGACTGTAAACAATAAAGGAGTTAAACGTGTTGCTCCACCCACTCAAGCCTCTGGCCTCACCCTTGACTGGCATGCAGCTCTTCGATTGAAAAAGGTTCCCCACCCTTTGCTCAATACTTCACTGCCCTTTCTTTGGTATGCAGCGCGGTTGAGTAACAAATCCCGATCGACAGCTTCACCCTTACGACAGTTCCAACTCCAGCGTGAACATTAAGAAGAGCTTGGCTGCTGCATCAGCCCAGTGGCCCATCTAGTCTAGAATCTTGTTCTCATAGTGTCTAACCAGAGGCTTATGGGAAACCCAGTGCTGTTTGTTTTTCTAGAAAAAGTGGTGCCAGAACTCACCCTGCACCCCTCCCTCACTGTCTTAGAATGACAGTGGTGCTCACTTGAGAGGTGCAGGAACTGAGTTCCTGAGAGTTCCAGCTGAAAAAAGCCCTGTGGGAAAACCCCAAGCAGGAAGCTGAGGACACCAGACCTCTCCCTATCTGAGGTTCCCAGCAGCTGGGAGAGGCAAGCATGCCACTGAATACCAACAACTGATACATCCATCAGGGTTAGCGGGTAAAGCCAGGCATCTGCTCAGGCCCCAATAACTGGCAGAGGACTCTCTTCTCATTTTTCAGGAGGCAACTTAAGATGGTTAGATGATGGAAACCAGCTGCCTCAGAAAAGCTGCAGCAGTTACGGAAGAGGAGAGCCTCTGGGTCCCCTGCAGGGACCTGGGTTCTTGGAACGTACCTAACAATACCAACCCCTGATAGCAGCAGCGCTGCCTGCAGGAGTGGGCAAAAGTTTTATCTACTAGTCCAGCATCATGTTCTCAGAGGGGCCAGCCAGATGGGAAGCCCCAAAGCAGCACCCACACTCTCTCCCGCCGTTTTCAGCAATTATTATTCTGTCTCCGACAGAGGAAGAAAAAACTTGGCCATCGGGCTTCTCCCCACTTGCGTTTCCTAGAAGGCTGCCACTTCTGTTCCAGCAAAATACAGGACAGGGCAGCTGGGGGCGATTCCCCACCCCCATGGTGCTGCAGTGGCTTCAAAGCAATCCACTAAAATCTACTGCAGCCTAACCGGGTGGCCCCGTCTGGAATTTGTCACACACACACACAAATCTGTCCATCTTTCTGGGCTACATGAACCTTTCACATACCCTTTCAACGCGTGCATTTGGAAAGGATCCCTAACTTGGCACCGAGAGAGAAGGACCTGAAATACGGGACAGAACCGTATCAATACAGGACGTAGCATTTTACATCCAAGTATGGGGAAATCTTGCATTATATACAGGACAGGTGGCAACCCTCGTTTCCTAGCAACCGGCATTCTGAGGCCTACCACCTCTGGCAAGGCTCTCTTACCTGCGCCATAGGCCACCGCTTCATCAGGGTTGATGCTCTTATTGAGCTCCCTGCCGTTGAAGAAGTCCTGCAGGAGCTTCTGGATCTTGGGGATGCGGGTGGAGCCACCAACCAGCACAATGTCGTGCACCTGAGACTTGTCCAGCTTGGCGTCCCGCAGGGCCTTCTCCACGGGCTCCAGGGTGCCCCGGAAGAGGTCGGCGTTCAGCTCCTCGAAGCGGGCCCGGGTGATGGAGGTGTAGAAGTCTATGCCCTCGTAGAGGGAGTCGATCTCGATGGAGGCCTGGGTGGAGGAGCTGAGGGTGCGCTTGGCCCGCTCGCAGGCGGTGCGCAACCTCCGGACCGCCCGCTTGTTGTCCGTGATGTCCTTCTTGTGCTTGCGCTTGAACTCCGACACAAAGTGGTTCACCATGCGGTTGTCGAAGTCCTCGCCGCCCAGGTGGGTGTCGCCGGCCGTTGATTTCACCTCAAAGATGCCGTCCTCGATGGTCAGGATGGAGACGTCGAAAGTGCCGCCGCCCAGGTCAAAGATGAGGACGTTGCGCTCGCCGCCAACCTACAGGAAGGATGGACCAGCAACATGTAAGGAGAACCGTGGCCTGTTTTGGGTGGAATTCCAGTACCTTCAACCAAAACTAAACACACAAACACAAATTCCACCACTTAACCATGAACCAAAGAACAGGACTCAATGGCAGACCTGAACGTGGATTACTGTCAGGATTCTCTCAGAAGATTGCTGGGAACTGTAGTTTCATGATAGCCCTTAGGACCACGTTCATATCAAACATGTAAAGCACTCCGATACCACGTTAAACGGTCGCCCCAAATAATTATGGCACCTGTAGTTTGCCAAGGGTGCTGAGAGTTTTTCAGAGACCCCACACTCTCTCAGAGAGTTAGAGCCCCCCGAGTTCCTTGGGAAGAGGGATTAAAAGTGCACCGGGAATTGTAGTTCTGGGAGGGGTATAGGTTGGTCTCCTGTCAGCACCCTTAAACTACAATTCCCAGAATTCTTTGGGAATTGAAAGTGCTTTAAAGGTTTGAATTCGACCCAATAACTTTCTGGGATCTTATTGCCTAGAAGCGAGGGAAACCTGCTGTCCTCCAAGCTGTTGTTGGGACTCCCACTCCCATCAGCCCTGGCCAGCATGGCCAAGGGCCAAGAACGGTGGGAGTTGTAGTCCAGCAACACCAAGGGGTCACAGGCTTCCCAACCCTGCTCACGAAACGTAAGTGTTGTGTCCTCTTCCCTGCAATTCACTGTCCTGGTCTTAGTCCAAACCTAGCAACATGTGGTGGGGGGGGAGCAATGAAACCCCTCCTGACCTTTTTGTCCAGGCCATACGCTATGGCAGCTGCCGTGGGCTCGTTGATGATGCGGAGGACGTTGAGGCCCGAGATGGTGCCGGCGTCCTTTGTGGCTTGTCGCTGGGAGTCGTTGAAGTAGGCCGGGACTGTAATGACGGCATTGGCAATAGTCTGTGGCAGAAAGAGGGAGAAAGAACGGGAATTATAGGACTGATCTTGCCCCCATTGTGTTGTTGGTGGGTATTTTGTGGAAGGTAGAGAAAATAAAGGGGGAATTCAAATTTGCCTCATAGTCTTTTGCCTCTCCCACTCCACATTCCAAGCTTTTTCTATGTAAAAAGCCCAGAATCAATCCGGAGCACTGACAGAAAGACCCAGAACCAGTGTACTGGAATTCTGGAGAGCAGCTGCTGGTCTAATATATAGACCAGAGATTCCTGTCACCATTGCTCCCCAGTCATAACTAAACCAAAGTACAGTCGTACCTCGGTTTTCGAACAGCTTAGTTCTTGAACGTTTTGGCTTCTGAATGCCACAAACCCGGAAGCGACTGTTCCAGTTTGCGAACTATTTTTGGAAGCCAAACATCCGACGGGGCTTGCGACTGGCTGCAGGAGCTTCCTGCAGCCAATCAGAAGCCGCGCTTTGGTTTCTGAATATTTTGGAAGTTGAACAGACCTCCGGAACATATTGCGTTCGACTTCCAAGGTACAACTGTACTTGAAAAGGCAACTGCTCACTTTCACTCCTTTCCACTTACAATTCATTCCCTTCCAGCTAGAATTTAAGACTGTATGCTCCTTGTGGCAGAGATCTATCCTTTTGTTTACAAGTCTCCACAAAGTGTGGTTGGCGCCAATAGCACAGCGGGCCAAATCTTTTCATTTCTCCCACCCTAGGACCAACTTTAACAGTCGGCGGGTTAACACACCTGATGCCAGAGGAAGATTCTGAACATTTCTATGCCGTTTTGGTGATTTATCACATTTCAAATTCGGATACACAAAACACTCTTCTCCCACTACATTGTGGAATTTGGCTTTCATGATGTGTTTTGCTATCGTTTTTCTATATTACCCATTCTACATCTATTTGGAAAACACAGCGTCTGTACTGATCTGATGTTTAGTAACTTTAATTATGGAGTTTACTTTTCTGAATTTTTCATTATTTTTTATTTAGCTTATTTTTATTTTTAAAAAAAGCTTTATAAAAATAATCTGGTATTAAGAAGATTGAACCCTCCACTGACCAAGCTGGTGAGAGGAGTTTTCAGTCCTGCTGGCTGCAGGGGTTTCCTCCACATTCCCAGCAGGATTGAACCCTACTCCTTGCCCATCCGGGTCAACTTGTTGACACCTGTAAGCTTCTTTTCTCCAGCTCTGGAGGGTAGGACTGGAACCAATGGCTTCAAGTTACAAAAAAGGAGATTCTGACTGAAGATCAGAAAGAACTTTCTGACAGTAAGAACTGTTTGACAGGGGAACAGACTCCTACGAGAAGTGGTGGACTCTCCTTCCTTGGGGGTTTTTAAGCAGAGGCTGGATGGCCATCTGTCATGGATGCTTTAGCCGAGATTTCTGCATTGCAGGGGGTTGGCCTAGAGGACTCTCATTATCCCTTCCAACTCTACAGCTCTATGATTCTATGAACTGGAACCCCCTGGCAAGCCCAAATTTGCCCACAAGCCAAAGGTTCAACCAGCCCACTGGCATAAGCAATAATCCGTCACTGCAGCTGGCGCCAACATCCCTCATGCTGCCCACCTTGCCCAGGTAGGCCTCTGCAATTTCCTTCATCTTGGTGAGAACCATCGACGAGATCTCCTCGGCGTAGAAGGACTTTGTCTCCCCTTTGTACTCCACCTGCACCTTGGGACGTCCCCCATCATTGATGACCTGGAAGGGCCAGTGTTTCATGTCCGAATGGACCACGGGATCATCAAAACGGCGGCCGATAAGGCGCTTGGCATCTGGGAAGAGGAGAAGCAGGGAAACAGTAATGAGATCTTCCAAGGAATAACAGCTTCCCTCAGGGAGCTAAGAGATGAGTAAGTCAAGAGCTCCATTATTCACATGCACTTAATCCACGTTCCCCTTCCAGGCGCTCCGTGCCAGCAGGGAAAAAAGTGGGCAAAGCAAGAAATGTAAATTTTACCTAGGCAAACGAGGCTAATTTCTACACACCCCTCTCTATCCTCCCTCAAAGGGCTGCTTCAGAAAAGCCTGTGACTCCTGAGGGAACGGGACCCCAAACCAAGAAGTCTGTGCCATCAGCTGCTTCAATCTCTGTTGCCTCTGGCCCCATCCACCCCTGGAAAGCGGCCCCTGGGAGGTTGCATAAGGAATTTGTGCTTTCAAGTTCACACACCTGGTCAGCTGTTCTCTAAATCAGCCAGCACTAGAATAAAGCCATCCATGAGATTAAGGTTGAATCCTGACAAGAAGAAGTACTGTTTTTGGGGGACGGGGGTGAGCTGGTGTGGAGGACTCCCTGGTCCTGAATAGGGTAACTGATGTGCAGAAGGACCAGATGCTCAGCCTGGGAGTAATTTTGGACTCACAGCTGTCCATGAAGGCACAGGTCAAATTTGTGTCCAGGGCAGATGTCTACCAGCTCCATCTGGTACGCAGGCTGAGACCCTACCTGCCCGCAGACTGTCTCGCCAGAGTGGTGCATGCTCTGGTTATCTCCCACTTGGACTAATGCAATGCGCTCTACGTGGGGCTACCTTTGAAGGTGTCCCGGAAACTACAACTAATCCACAATGTGGCAGCTAGATTGGTGACTGGGAGCGGCCGCTGAGACCATATAACATTAGTCCTGAAAGACCTACATTGGCTCCCAGTACATTTCCGAGCACAATTCAAAGTGTTGGTGCTGACCTTTAAAGCCCTAAATGACCTTGGTCCAGTATACCTGAAGGAGCGTCTCCACCCCCATCGTTCAGCCCGGAAACTGAGGTCCAGCTCTGAGGGCCTTCTGGCAGTTCCTTCACTGCGAGAAGTGAAGTTAGAGGGAACCAGGCAAAGGGCCTTCTTGGTAGTGGCACCCGCCCTGTGGAACGCCCTCCCGTCAGATGTCAAGGAAATAAACAACTATTTGACTTTTAGAAGACATCTGAAGGCAGCCCTGTTAAGGGAAGTTTTTAATGTTTAATGTTTTTAATATTCTGTGGGGAGCCGCCCAGAGTGGCTGGGGAGGCCCGGCCAGATGGGTGGGATATAAGTAATAAATTTATTATCCTCCTCCTCTTCCTCCCAAAGGACCTCTCTGGGAGGATGCAGAAGGGTCCCTCAGCCCTCGGATGGAGCTTATCACCCCTCCAAATGGTGTGACAAGGCCCGGCGTCGAGTTCTTACCGAAGACGGTGTTGGTGGGATTCATGGCCACTTGGTTCTTGGCGGCATCGCCGATAAGGCGCTCTGTGTCCGTGAAGGCCACATAGCTGGGGGTGGTGCGGTTGCCCTGGTCGTTGGCGATGATCTCCACCTTGCCATGCTGGAAGACGCCCACACAGGAGTAGGTGGTCCCCAAATCAATTCCAACAGCTGGACCCTTGGACATTTTGGCTGCAAGGGGGAAGGCGACACACCGCTGACATCAATGCAAGAAGTGACAACAGCCCATTAATTGCTTAAACATACAGAAAAGTGTATTGGAGTTCAGCAGCATCTGTTATAGCAAGGATCCCGCCATGTGTGCAAAACATCTGCATTGGCTGCGGGCCCCTGCTAGAAGCTTTGGGGAACGCACTAGACAAGGCTCTGGGGAAAATTTAACCCAGACATAATCCAACAAAATCTTTCCAGGGGACCACAATGCAAACCGGCTACCGCTGTTCACGTGCAAAAATCTTGGACATGCTTGCAGGAGTCATTATGCCAAAATTTCCTCCTCTCCCCCTGCCCCCCCCAAAAAGCCTTAGGATCCTTCAGCTCCCAAGTAGGGAGACCAGGATGATGCAGGGAGATCGGCGTTAATGGGCTGGCTTACAATCCCAGCAAGAGTCTGATGAGAGATCGCTTTATGCAGAATGCAGACCTGAGAAATTCCGAGTATCCTGGTGGATCTTTAGGATAAGATACCAAAAAGCATCCCTATTGATAAAGAACAAGGTAACGGGCAACTTTCCATGCCCAAAAGAATGTGACCATCGCCAACATTACTTTTTTGTACTGCCATGCTCACGAAACTGAAATTGCTTCACTGTGTGGCGAGCGTCTTATGAGAGCTTAAGGGGAAGTCGCCACACCAAAAACTCAGAGGTTACAGTTCGTTACAGCACTGGCTCTTCCTGTACCGCTCCTAGCACAGCACATGCTGGAAGCAGTATGGGAAGAACCCCCGAGCCACGTGAGCTGGAAATCAGAAAGCTGGCAGCAGATCTATTTCAGAGAATCAGAGTTGGAAGGCACCACGGGGGTCATCAAGTCTAACCCCTGCAATGCAGGAACCTTTTGCCCAACATGCGGCTCGAACCCACGACCCTGAGATAAAGAGTCTCATGCTAAACCGACTGATAAATCTATTTAGGGCTAAAGGAAAAAAGCTTGGGTGCTTCCAAGATGCAGATGACTAGACCTTGCAGAGTGCTCTGCACATGCTCAGGGGCACTCTGTAGCCAGCTTGCCAATGCACAGTGCAGCCCCAGCGGTGGAAAAGCACCGACTTCCAGACAAGCTGGCTTCTAAACAGAGAGAGCGAAGATGGCACGTGGCTACAAAGAGCGGTAGGGAGATGCAATCACAGCTGCAAATGAAAAACATAGCAGGAGATCTGAGGTGCTCCCCCCCCCCCAGCATCACTCCTAGCAGCTCCTACCGGAGGGCAAGGTAAGAAACACTGGGACTTAGCTGCAGCCAAGAAGGATCTGCTTTCAGATTAAGCCCTGCAGTTCAGAAGTCATGGTGTGGGGGGTCCAAGAAGGGGCAGTAGTTAAGCAAAACAGTACTGGGTCCTATTCTCGGCTTCAAGGCATGCTTGGCAGGGTTGCTGGCAGTCTGAAGGGCACAGCTGTTGCTCAAGATCAGATTATATATAAAAAACTACACACACCAGTGGCCAACTCTGCCCCAGGTCGTTAAGGCGGGGTGGTGTGGGGGTGGAGACAGCCGTTTGGGGCTGGGCGGCTGGACTTTGCAAGAGTCTCGTGCCATGCTGCGCGCTCTCCCTCCTTGGCCTGTAAAGATTTTTCGAGAACTCTGCTACAGGGAGGGCTCCGAGACTGCGGAGGAGCGAAAGACGGCTGCAGTGAGCCAAGCCAAGAAACCGCAACAGGCGAAGGAGCTCAGAAACCCTCCTTCCTTCTCGCTCCCCAAGAAAGCCTCTGCTTCCAGGACCACCCTCTGGGGAAAAAACACCCCCACTAGACTCCCCTTCCTTTCCTGGAGCTTTTTTAAAAAAACCAAAACCAACCCCTGGAGGGCTAACTTTTCTACTCCCCCCTCACTCAAGATCCTAAATACCTAGAGAGGGAAAGTGTCAGGGCTTCAGCAGAGTCCTCCAATCTATTCTGGAGCAATTTCCAGCTTAGGGAACAACGTGGAGTGCCTCTGGGCATAGTTAAGAGTGTGTTCCCCTCATTTAAGTCTCATCTGCCTCCAGACATCTGGGTTTTCTTTTAGGGGTATGTGTGTGTGTCCTTTTATGCCAGTAGATTTGTGCCTCAGAACCACAGGTGGCAGGCAGCGTTTAGGGAAAGGATGGGGAACCTCCAGATACGGCAGGACTACAACTCCCATCTTCCTTGGAGCTGATGGGAGTTGTAGTCCCATGATATTTGTGGAGGGACGCAGGTGCCCCCAACCCCTGGTTTGGGGTGATGGAGCTAGGCCTGAGGAAATCCAGGTTCAAATCTCCAACCAGCTACAAGGTGACCCGGTAATCTCAACCAAATCACTCTCCAGAGGAATGCGAGACGCTGCCTTTCTCCTGACCATTGAGTGCCAATCTGTCTACACTGGCAAGACAGGAGTCCTACCTGGAGGCGCCAGACATTGAACCCAGGGCCTTCTGCACGAGAAGCAGATGCTCTATCCCCTAACCTACAGCTCTTAAAAATCAGGGCTGAATGGAAAACCATGCACACAGGACAGCAACCTCTCGCTGTATATGCTAAGCTCCTGAAACAAGGCCCTATGTTATTTTACATAAAATATTTTGGCCAGGTCGAAGGAGGCGCACACCTACGTCCCACCATTTGACGCTTCTTTTGAACCCCAGAAACCTATGCTTTTATGCTCTTGAGGCACAAAAACGTGTTCCCTTGCTCTATTCCAAGCGCGAATCGTTCCAAAGCAGTAGTTAGGACACATGAACAGCCGATGTTTGCAGATGCAGTCTTCTGGGCACCCAGCCAAGCCTAGGAATATCCCCAGAAGAGTAGAGGAAAAACTACTCTAACCACATTTAATTGGAGGATGGGATGGAGCACCGACTCCCATCTCCCTTCCAGAAAAAAAGACACGTGTTCACACCTCCTGGGCAGCCAGTTTCCATTGGCTCCATTATTATTTTTTGTGGGGAGGGGGGAGCTATCCTACCAGGCTCTATGCCCCACCCACCCCTGCAACCCCAAAGAAGGCAAAGTCAGACAGGCACCTGAGGAAACCAAACACTCCGCCCCTTTCAAGTCCCTTCCAAGAGGTTTTAAGTGCGCTTGTCATGCACTCTGAATTCATCCAAATTAAGCTACCATCTAAGCAATAGCCAGCTTTAATCATACACTGAAATCAATGGGCTTAAGCAGCCTGGCAGCAAACCTTAAACCCTGTTTACCTGGGAGTAAACTCCATAGAAATCAATAGGACTTACTGCTGAGTAGGAATGGTTCGCACTACGCAGTAAGTTGGATATTGCCCTTTGCAAATGAAGCTGCCATATGCAAGTATTCAAAATATGGATTGCACTTGTTGCAGGAAACTTCACCTGAGTCCTGTTGCCTTTAAATGCACAGCAACAGCTCCCTGCCCCCATCAGTTGGCAACTGCTATTTTTTTTAAAAAAATTCCGCTTCAGTTCTAACGTGAATTGTAGGAATATACTCCCAGGGCAATCTAAGATGTACAGATCTACTAAGGAATCTAAGATGTACAGCTGTCTACAGGCAGATGTTTAGAGATTCAGAAGTACACACCTATTTTAAACTCCTAATTACAGTACTCTTTGGGGGGAAAAACAAAACAGTCCAGTGCTCTTTTGAAGAATTGCTACCAGCCAGAACCAATTAGACAGAAAAAGATATGAATCAATCCATACTTTATTTATTTTAAAGATTCCAAACCACCCTAATGGATTCTGGGATGGTGGGTTGTTAGTTATTGTTATTAGTAGCAATACCACCAGAAGGAGCAATGAGTTAAACCTTGCAAAATAGTCACCAGCCAGTTCAATGGAAGCTGCCCAGAGAACTGCAAGTAACGGGTGTTGTCTGCCTGTAATTTTCCACGGTAAAGCTATAGTGGGCGCTTATATTTAGAGATGGCAAATATCCACCTATTTAAGTTGCTCCAAACTGAATGCCTCAACATCCAACGATGGCGTTCTGGTACTCGCCAACGAAAGCAGAACCCAGGCGTCCGGGCTCAGCGCTACTTTGCACTGAATTAGCTATAAATCCTAAATTCCAGGCACGCCTGCCTGCATTAAGTCCCAGAAAACGTAACTGCGCGATCCTAAGAAGATTTGCAGTCGCACAAGCCGGTCCTACGCATCTGAAGCGAGCCTTCAACAGCGGCCACTCCTAAATTAAAACTGCATATACGGTATAGGATTGCGTTTAGGAACAAGCTAGAAATAAAACCCGAGCTGCGTTTGCAAGGGAGCAAGCTTTGCAGAACGATCAAATGAGAGCAAGTTCTGAGTTGGAACACGGTAAGGATCCTGTAAATAAAGCGTCTGCAAAGCCCGTAAGAAAAAGGCAAACAGGATCATAACTTCCGCAGCCCATTCGAAATTAGCGCACACAAAAAAGTGGCGAAAGATGCTTTCGTCGCCCCTCCCCAATTTGGGGTGCTGGCTGGACCCCAAATTCCAGCGACTCGTTTCCAAACGCAACCAACGGCGAAGCTCAGGTCAAGCCCTAGAACCGAACCCATGTTTTACGCCGCGGAGCAGGAAAGCCACTCTGCACTATGCTCAGGGGCACTCTTGCACTGGAAATGAACCCATCCGCTCCACAACGGAACTGCAGCAGCCCGAATGCACGCAGCCTCTTCGCTTTCGCGCGGTGCAATCGACAGGAACGACCCGCGCTTGGGGATCCCTCCTGCGAGGATCCGCCGCGATCCTTACTGGAATCCGAGGGAGCCCGCCCCATACGCCTGGCTGCAAACGCGGGAAAAGTGCGCAGTTGTTGAGAGACGCCAAACTTCTGCTCCCACCCATGCATGCACACAAACAAGCTGCAATACAGCCATATATACCTTATGCAAGATGCAGCCCCTTTTCTTCTGACAGCAACTGGAAATAACAATTGGAAAAATTGCTATCTATATTGAAAGTGCGCCGCAGCTGCAAACAACTGGAGAGCGTCGGCACGCGCGCGCCCGCCTGCTACTCCCAGGCTTTATATGCAAACCGCCCTCCCCGCCCCTCTTATTGCGCGCGCTAGTGCATTTTTCTCTTCCCCACCCCGTTTAAGGGCACTGACACTTTGCAGAAGCTTCTCGACTTGGCTTCGAATCCGTCCAATCCGGGTCCGGCTCGGCTTGTCTGTCAAAGCGGGAAGGGGCGGGGCCGGGCTCCAGCTGTCTGGGCGCGGGAGTGGAACTTTCAAGAAGCCAAGGGAGGGGGGGATCCGGTTTCGCGCGCCCCCCGCCCCGTTTACACGGCAACCCGGAGTGACACCCGGCGCTCCATAAATAAAAAGTTTCCCGTTGGAGCTATGAGTTTAGTTTCTAATTTTGCAGTTGGGGTGCGTGGTTATTTTTAGGGAGAAGGACAGGTGTGGGACAGGAGAAAGAGAATGAGGATCTGTATAGAAGACCACCTGGAGAGTTTATGGCCAAAGTTGGGGTTGGTTTTGTGTGTGTTAGGGGGCTGCAATGTTTGCTTCTCAACTCTGAAGGGTGTTGCAGAAGGAAGAATCTGCATCTCCAGGACATAATTTGAACAGGTGTGAAAAAGCACCTCTGAGCATATGCAGAGTGCTTGTCCAAAATAGCATACCTAAGCATATGAAGCATTAGGGGAAGATGGCCTCTTCCTTCCTCTCTGCTCCACCCCTTTGCTAATATTTATTAATTTGATTTATATCCACCTTTCCTTCAAGACGGTGTACGTGGATTTTTCACCTCCACGTTTTATCCTCGTAAACAATGCTGTGACGTAGGTTAAGCTAAGAGACAGTGACTGACCCAAAGCCACCAAGCCAAAATTGCAGAGTGGGAAAGGACCACGAGGGTCATCTAGTCCAACCCCCTGCAATGCAGGAATCTCAGAAATCTCCTGCTCAGTGTGCCAGCCAAGTCAAGTGATATGTGACTATTGTAATGGATGAACATTATCCGGGCACTTCATTATTGAGTTCTCCGTGCCCCTGGGGTTTGGCTGGCCTTCAAGTCAGGACAGAGGTTTAAGAGTGGCAGACCCTGCCCTGTGGAACTCCCTGCCAGTAGATACTCAGCAGGAAACATCCCTCCCTTCCTTCGGAAAACTTTTGTTGTTGAGACAGGCCTTTACAACATGATTTCTGCTGCCCTCCCTCTTATAACCAGACAGCATTTATTTATGTTTTAAATGACTGGATTACAGAATTGTAGAGTTGGAAGGGACCCCAAGGGTCATCTAGTCCAACCCCCTACAATGCCAGAATCACAGCTAATGTTTTTTCTGGCTCTTTTGTTGGTCTTATCCCCTATGTGCTGTACTCCACCTTCTTATTGTTTTTCAGGAAAGTGCAGGTTTTGTGTGGCAGTGGTAGACACTTGGTGGAAAATGGGATGGATGGTGTTTCTATTTAACGCCCTCTGTACCTGTTTTCCTGTTAAATGAACATAACAGGCTCCTTCAGCTCTAACATTTTTCTTTAGACTGCAGTGTCTATTAAGACTAGATACATGACTCTCAAGCGGAAAAACACAGCCACCCTCAGGGACCATAATTTGAACTTTGATTACCATCGTGTATCTCAGTCTGTACTTTCCCACTCTTAGGTTAAAAACAACATCTTTCCTAGACTCAGTTGTATTAAGAAGCAGTTGCTTCAGATTCCAGGGCTGCACCATTTTTATTTTTGCCTCTTATCTCAGGGGTGTTTCACTTAAAAGAAAGGACCCTCAGTAAATTTTGACATTTTGCTTCCAGGCTGATCATATTTAAGAGAAAAACTACAGCTAACCTTTTTCATGGGCTTTATAAACAAGCATGCTTAACCTGCCTGTTTTTATTTTGAAGGGGTGGGAGAAACCCATTCACAGGGCCCCAATCCAGAATGCACTCCTGATCCAGACTGAGGGCCTGCACCAGTCATCTGCTGAAAACTACAGTGGTACTTCAAGTGACAAATGCCTCAGGTTACAAACTCCACTAACCTGGAAGAGTTACCTCGAGTTGAGAACTTTGCCCCAGGATGAGAACAGAAATCATGTTCCGGCAGCGCAGCAGCAGCAGCAGCTAGAGGCCCCATTAGCAAAAGCACGCCTCTAATTAAGAACAGTTTCCGGTTAAGAACGGACCTCTGGAACGAATTAAGTTCGTAACTAGAGGTACCACTATTCAGTGGTACCTCGGGTTAAAGATGCTTCAGGTTACAGACTCCATTAACCCTGAAACCTCGGGTTAAGAACTTTGCTTCAGGATGAGAACAGAAATCACGCAGCAGTGGCGCAGCGGCAGCGGGAGGCCCCATTAGCTAAAGTGGTACTTCAGGTTAAGAACAGTTTCAGGTTAAGAACGGACCTCCAGAACAAATTAAGTTCTTAACCCGAGGTACCACTGTACCCCCTTACCTGGCTGCCATTCCTCACCAGCCTACCAGGAAGCAGCCAGGAGTGAGCAAATAGCAGTTGCAGCCAGTGTGTCAGGTGTCAGATTAAAGGTCTGGAAGGCCAAGGTTCAAATTTCCCACTCAGCCATGAAGCCCACTGAGTGCAAGTTGAAATCTCTCAGCCTAACCAACCTTGCAATGTTGTTGTGGCACCAGGCTTGGCTCCAGGAGTTGCCGGAAGAGCAGAAGGTGCCACCCAAGTGCCTTAGAGACTCCACACTGGATTTGTGTACAGTTTACTCCTTAGCTTTTTATATGCCACAAAGCAGTGGAGGTTTAGGAGCAGAGTTTTCCTTCTTCTAGATGGGCTCCCTTCCCAGGTTGATGAGCCTCATCTAGGGGAAGTCTAATGCTTATGGCTTCTAGGAGCGACAGCTGAGAGCTGAGTGCTGGGTAGAAGAGTTTGGATTTAATATCCCACTTTATCACTACCCTAAGGAGTCTGAAAGCGGCTAACATTCTCCTTTCCCTTCCTCCCCCACAACAAACACTCTGTGAGGTGAGTGGGGCTGAGAGACTTCAGAGAAGTTTCACCCAAGGTCACCCAACAGCTGCTTGTGGAAGAGCGGAGACGCGAACCCGGTTCACCAGATTACGAGACTACCGCTCTTAACCACTACACCATACTGGCTTTTGGGTAGAGACCAAAAGTGGCCAAACTACCCCAGAAGAAGCATGACGTCTCCCCCTAGCCCTCCCCCTCCTCTAGCACCCCATAACTGTAATTATAAATAAATAAAGCAGCAGAACTGGGAGCACACATTTTTGAGCAGGGCCTTGCAAGCGTGTTGTTGTTTTTCCAAAATAACAGCAGATGTCAGATGAAGCATGCTTGAATAATGTCACACGTAGGTTGGAGCTCAGGCTGGTAATCTTTCCTAAATGGCCGAATGATGACGCCTGGACCAGGAAATGCCCAGTAAAGCCAAGTGGCCTTGTTTCACCTCTCCCTGACCTTCTCTGCCGGCGTAAACCAACACCATTTGCCTTCTGAAGTCCAAGGGGGCTGCCCTCTCAGTATACGAAACTAGCAGCCAAGAGGGGTGACACTACAGAGAACATACTGGATCCCGTTTCTTGCCTTTTAACAGCAGAGACAAAAGTATGTTCATTTGTCGAGTTGCAGCCAGACACCTGTTATTAGTGCATTCATGGGGGCAGGAAGAGAAATAAAAATAACAATGCAGCAAACAGAAATCAAACTGGTGAAAGTTTTCTCATTGCTGCATTTGCAGGTCAGGAAAAAACTCCACAATTTCTTTGGTGTGCGCCCGGGGAGAAGAGCCAGTTTAAAAGACCTACATTGGCTCCCAGTACATTTCCGAGCACAATTCAAAGTGTTGGTGCTGACCTTTAAAGCCCTAAACAGCCTTGGTCCAGTATACCTGAAGGAGCGTCTCCACCCCCATCATTCTGCCCGGACGCTGAGGTCCAGCGCCGAGGGCCTTCTGGCGGTTCCCTCATTGAGAGAAGCAAAGCTACAGGGAACCAGGCAGAGGGCCTTCTCGGTAGTGGCGCCCGCCCTGTGGAACGCCCTTCCAGCAGATGTCAAAGCGATAAACAACTACCTGACATTCAGAAGACATCTTAAGGCAGCCCTGTTCAGGGAAGTTTTTAACGTGTGATATTTTAGTGTATTTTTGGTTTCTATAGAAGCCGCCCAGAGTGGCTGGGGAGGCCCAGCCAGATGGGCGGGGTATAAATAATAAATTATTATTATTATTATTATAAAAGGTTGTCAACTGTTTAGGGGAATTTTCCTTTTTCAATGAATTTCTATCACTTGCAGCCTGCAGGCTACTGGAAATACAGTAAAATGCTAGCAGTGCAGACACAAAGGAAGAATAAGTAAGCTCCCTGTTTAAAATGCAATAAAAAAAATGCATTAAAACCTCCTGAGATAATTCATGGATCTAATTTGCTCAGATTAATGCCTTTGCCTTTACAAACCACTGATATTCGGTTCACGAGCCTCGCTCGGATTTTCTACACTGCAATTGCAAACTGTGCAACTTGAGAGGATAAAGGAATGTGCTATCTGTACATACACAAGGTTTACAATACACACAGCAGTAGAAGCCATGTGTACATGGTTATACCACTGAGTTGCCCACAGCTGACATCTGGGGGAAGCCACTGCATCAAGCAACTCCTGCTGCTGAACTGTGGCAGCTGGTCAATATAAAAGCAACTGTGCCTGAGTTTTGATTTTCCTCTTCCCTCCCTGTGCCCCTTCCCTTGTGTGTCGTGTTTTTGTTTTTTTAATTGTAAGCCTAAGGGGAGGAATTGTCTTGTGTTGATTGTATGCAAGTCACCCTGGGAGCCTTTTTGGTTGATGAGTGGGGTAAAAAAAATAAAAATGCTCCAGATTTGTTTCCTGAAGAAGTTCAAGGTACTTTGCCTAAAATTGTTTACATTCTGGGCTTGGGAAACCTTAAGGGGGCATATTTTCCCAGTATGCACCTTTGCACATGCTGAGATCTAGAAGCAACTATTAATTCTGAGTGCTATATAATGGGTTTTGGAGTGTGTGTGTTTTGTTTGTTTGTTTTTTGCTGCTACAGAGCCCTGAGATTGTGGAACACTACCTACAAGAAATCCACCAAAAGAAGATCCAAAGAGGAGGAATGATTTCATTTCTGAACTGTGTCCTACAAAGCATTTCACAAGATAATAAAAACACACATAAAACACTTGCATACATATTTAGAAAAGGAAAACAAGCGTATCTGGGGTACTTTTTTTAAAAAAACAACCATTAAAATGACTGGAATACATAAAATCAATTTCATATCCAATGGATACCGTCTGCTGGAATGAAAACCTCCACTTTTGAAACATTTGTTGAAAGACCAAAGTCTTCAATGCAAAATTTGCAGCGCCTTTCGGATATGCAAAGCCCAACACTGAATTACCAATAGCTTCGCTGAACTTCGAGCTGCACGTCAGCGCGCAACAACCAATAGGGAAACAAAGAGGCGGCACCTTATCCTCCAATCGAAACGAAGTTCCAGACTTTTCCTGGGTCACGCCCAGCGGGAGATATGAGACGCTCGTCACGTAGCTTCTCGTTTCCTTCTCCCGCTCTGCTTTACCCGCTGCTCCCCCCTCCCCTCCGCGAGGCCCGGTAACCATGGAGACGGCAGAACTAGGGAAAAGACGGGCTTTGGGGCCTAGTATAGGCCTCTCTCGCGGGTGGCGAGGGCAGCGCTAAAGCAACGCGGGGATCTAACTCGGGGGGAGGACCCCCTGCAGCTCAACGAGGGGTATTCCCGGAAGTGAGCGAGCTTTATTATTGGCTCCGTAAATAGTGTTGCACAAAAACCCTTCCTACCTTACAGAAGTCGGAGCATAATCGGATCCCTGCTCTCACAGGGGAGAACCAGACACCTGTGGGAAATGTGCAAGCAGGATCTGAGCACAGGAGCACCTTTCCCCTCCTGTGGTTTCCAACTTAATAAAATAAAATAATAATAATACTTATTTGTTATTAAATTTGTATACTGCCCTATACCCATAAGTCTCAGCACAAAGTTACATTGCAAAAACGCAACATACATGATAACAATCATTAAAACGACAAACAATGCTCATGTATGCAAACTAAAAAAAAGGCACTCAACAAAAGCCCTGAGCAACAAATGCAAATGCGAAAATCCAAATCAACATCTATCATTTAAAAACCAATTTAAAGCAACCCCACCTCCCAAATGAAAGAACACCCACCCAGCTATTTCCCCTTGCAGGCTCTCAAGGGGGCTTGCGGATGAAATAAGAACAGTTAAAAGCATAGAAAGAAACTCCAAACAATCATGCACACACAATCTATTAACCACACACACACATATAATACTGCCTCCACCGTGGAGGCAGGAGCTTAGCCCTCATTGTTAGCAGCCATTGATAGATCCCTTTCTTCATTGGTTTGCCTAATCCTCTTTTAAAGCTGTTGTAATTTCTGGGTTACAACAAAACCACCAGAGTCGGTGGCCATCCCTGCCTCTCCAGTGGGAGTGAGTTCCATAGTTTTATGTGCCGTGTGAAGAAGCACGTTTCCTCGTTTCATTACACACATTTGCGCAAGTGCATATTGAATTCTGTGGGTGTTGATCTTCATGTGTGCTCACTGTTCTCTTTAAGATCCCTTATCAATACTTGCCATTCCCTTAAAAGTAATTATTAACCTGGCCATTAATCCTCAATGCTCACATAATCCCAGCTGAAAATAATCCTGAATTCATGTAGCTGCATTTATACCCATGTGCATTTTGGTTCCCTCGTCCTCTGTTATTCCATGCTGCCGAAAGTCTGACTTTAAACTCATTTAAAGACAGTAAATGGCTCTCTTTTTAGGTGGTTGTTTGTTATACACTTTGTACCGCATACAGAGAGGTTGTTGCTCTGACAGCAAGAACTGCTAATAGTGAACTCTGGTGGTTAAACAGAAAATGCAGACTATGAAGAATCCGAAAATAAAAACAAAACTTGTGTGCTGGAATGGTGTGGTGGAAGTAGACATGTGGTGCAGTAATAAAACATTTAGCACATTTATGAAGCTAAGCAGGGCCTCGTATACTCTTGCTTTGGCAAGCGTATTAGAAGGCGGAAATTCACTGCAACATTATTAATTTTTTGCAGGTCCCACACCGATGATGATGTAGGGTTGCTATCTCGAAGATCTTGCTTCAGCAGTGCCTGCTCTGAGAGTCAGCAGTTTGGACAAAAGAATGATGTCCAGGATGTTCAGTGGATGTTTCTGAATGGGAGCTAATGGTTGGGAGATCACTGGAGAGCTTTCGGGAATATTCTGAATCAGAGAGTTATCAGGGCTGGGAGGGAACACATCACCCCCGCTCCCTGCCCAGTTTATGTGAAGTGTGTGGGAATGAATGACAGAGGAATTCGGGGGGGGGGGGGGGAGAGGGAGAGAGAGAGAGAGAGAGAGAGAGAGAGACTGGGAGGGAGAGAATTGAGTTGAGATTAAATTATGGAATCATCCTCTGGTGAGATGACATAAGACAGTAGATCTGTTGCTCTGTAGAAGTGCAAGTGGTGTTGTGTATTTGCACCTATATCAAATACTGGAAAAAAGCTGGTTTTCACTACTCATCAAAGGAACCAAATCCAGACAGCAGGACCCAAGGAACTTGCCAGTGCTAGTAGACAGTATAAACAATTGTTAATAACTCCCCTTTTTCTGTTCTGAATGGGAAGTGGAGAGAAAAACAATGTAGTGACCAGCAGACAGCTATCCAGGTTAAGCACCCCAGTGCTCCGAAGGGTCCCTCACTGGTCTGCCCCTGCCTGCCACTCACTGTGCAGGCATTGCTTGAGAACCACTCTCAGCTCCCATCTCTCTGCACCTGCCCCCTCCTTGTTGCCTCACCTGGCAGGTGCAAATGGGCCAAGGGCCAAAGCCAGGCATTCTGGGTCAGGTAGGTGGTGAGGGAAATGCCAGAGCCACTGTTGTTCTTTGTCACAGGGACCTGAAAGGCTTTTAAAGTGCAGATTTCTTAAAAATAAATAGATCCCGAGTTGAAAAAAATGTTTCTAGCCACTGTGAAATTGCAAACATCCCTTCCCCCTGAGCACCTTGGAGATTGCGTAATTGTGGAAGTTATCGTCAAGTAGGTTCAGGGAATTGGTATGACATATAGAGCGTGGAAAATGGCATTACTGTACTATAGAGTCAGGAGGCGTGAAATGGGCAGAGGGAAATTGCATGACGACCGCTTCCCTTTTAATTCCCCAGAGGAACCCCGAACACCTACATTTCATTTCACTTTTTGGAGGGGTCTGTGATGCCTTTAATTCTAGTCATTTTGCCATCAGTATGCATTAGTTAATATAATAACTTTTCCAATGTGGATCGTTTTTGTAAATCAGCTTCACCTCCCCCCTTTTCCATCCCTCTCCCCCTTCTCGACAGCTTGCAAAAATTCACAGACGGCGACCTAACAATCCCCGATAGCGCGTGCTCCTCCTCCCTCTCCGGTGCGCCGGCCGTTCCTGGGATCACCTTTTCTGCGCGCCACGCTGCCCGTATCCCCGGGCAGTGGCTGCTTTGCGATGTGACTCAGGCTGGTGCATCTGGGTCACCAAGGCGCGAATTAATTGCAGCAGCCACTCAGGACCAGTCCGGCTTTTCTTCTTATTTAAAGAGCCTGCTGTTTTGTCAGTCCCAACCAGCGCGTTTCTTGCACCGGCAGCTCCGCCTCTTCCCATGTGATGGTTTCTGTTTTGCTTTCCACCTACAGACGATCGGCAGGATCCCCTCCGGTTCGCCACGTCTGCTGCTCGCTTGCTTGCTGCTTCGCCTTAGGGAATTGGTTTGGGAAATGAATTCTGTGAGTATAGAGGAGGGCTCAAAGCTGGCGCGAAGGAGCGCACACATCCATCCGCCCGGTTGCAAAAAAAGCGCTGCGCTTTAGTGAAAACTGAAAGGAGCGAAGAGTCTGGTGACACCTTGAAGGCCTGCAGATTGGTTGCAGTAGGAACTTTCCCGAGCATCCGACCAGCTGGCCTCGAATCCTCAAGCTTTTCCCACAACGAACCGTGGCCGACTTCCGGGTGTCACAAGGCTCTTGTTTTTTTGTTGTTGCAGCAAACAGTCACTGGCTTGGCTACCCTTCTGAATATGGGAAGGGTGGGCTCTAGTGGTTAGAGAAGGGAAAGCCGGCAGCTGGGAGTCTTGTTTCTCTTTTGGTTTGCTAACAACTTGTTGGATTGGGTGAGGTGAGACATAGGGCTCCGTTCCACATTTGTGGGTGCAGAAGGAATCTTTCATGTTAAGTCAAAGCTACATTTGCTTGCTTAGTCATCTGCTGTTGGGGATCACTAGTGGAGAGATTGCTGTTGCATGCAGGTCCTGCTTTGGAACTCGCTTCCTTGGGAGGCAGTGATGTCCATTAACTTGGATGGCTTTAAAAAAGGATTAGTGAAATTCATGGAGGAGGAGGAGGAGGAGGAGGAGGCTATTAGTGGCTACTAACCATAATAGCTAGGCTCTGCCTTAACTGCCAGAGGCAGCTATGCCTCTGAATATTATTATTATTAATTAAATCTGTGTACTGCCCTGTACCTGCAAGTCTCAGGGCGGTTCGCAAGATAAAATCACAATATAAAAACGTAACCTGGCTGGCCACTGTGAGAACAGGGTGCTGGACTAGATGGGACTTTGACCTGATCCAGCAGACTGTTCTTATTACTGGCGGCTATTTTGTAGCTTCTTGTAGCTTGCTCATTTACTTTTGTAGCATTTTTCTAATTTAATTGATTTCCTCTAATTATTCTGTAGTTTTAAGCACGTGCTGTGCTTGGAATGCTCTCTTTGAATGGAAGAGCTTAGTAGTAATAATAATAATAACAGCAGCAGCAACAACAACAATAATAATAATAAAGCAAAATGGTTTGATTCTGATTCTTTTTCTGATTTGGAGGGATGCACGTGTTTATATTAAGTGGTATGTTGAAAATGGCTAGAGTAAAATACTCATTTAGATAGTTGTCAGGAAGGAAAAGTGGGATAGAATCAATGGCAAGGAAAAGAAAGAGGAAAGTCAGGGGCGGGCCAAGGGCCACATTGCCTTCTGGGCAAGCTTCTGAGGGCCACATGATAGTGGTGGGTGTGGCCAGAGTAAAAAATTAGCAGAACAATTACAGTGGTACCTCGGGTTACAGACGCTTCAGGTTACAGACTCCGCTAACCCAGAAATAGTACCTCGGGTTCAGAACTTTGCTTCAGGATGAGAACAGAAATCGTGCGGCGGTGGCACGGCGGCAGCGGGACGCCCCATTAGCTAAACTGGTGCTTCAGGTTAAGAACATTTCAGGTTAAGAACGGACCTCCAGAACAAATTAAGTACTAACCCGAGGTACTACTGTAATGTAAATCTTACTATTGTGGAGAAGTCTAATTTCTACATCCACTCATGAACCCTGCTGTGTTCTCCATCCAAGCAAGAGGCATGATCAGAGTTCAAGAACACATTCCAGCCAGGCATAAACACTCAAGGAAGAGTGCAAAGGAGGGTTTAGGAGGAGATGCAGCCGGGGGTGTTTCGTTTTGCTTTAAATCAAGCCCAACGCTTTTCAAACAGCTTTTCTTCTGCTTCTGAACAAGTAACTTCATCCCGCAAACTACAGTCATACCTCGGGTTATGAATTCTGCGGGTTGTGCGTTTTCAGGTTGTGGACCGCACCGAACCTGGAAGTACCGGAACAGGTTACTTCCAGATTTCAGCACATGCACAGAAGTGCAAAAGGACATCACACGCATGTCATCACACGCAGATGCGGTGCTTCAGGTTGTGAACACTGCGGGTTGCGAACGTGCCTCCCTCACGGATCACGTTCGCAACCCGAGGTATGACTGTATTGCGACAGTTTTGAAAAAGAACAACTGTTTGAATTTTTTTGGCATAATTAAACAAAAAATAGCTGGCATCCCCAGTGGCGGAGGAACCCTCTCCAGCAACTGGGGCAGCGCAGCCCGTACAGACTGCTCATGTGTGGCGACCATACGGGCTGCTGCTTGCACGCGAGGCAGCCCGTATGGCCGCCGTGCATGAGAGCGGCAGCCCATACGGATGCCCGTACGGCCGGCGTGCGAGAGCGGCAGCCCGTATGGACTGCGGGCGCCCTCAGCTGCTCTACAGCTGGGGGGGAGGCAGGGGCCATTTTGTCACCCCTCCCAGAGTGGCACCCGGGGTGGACCGCCCCCCCTTCCTACGCCACTGGGCATCCCTCCCCATGATAGCGTAACTGGTCATGCTTTGCAGCCTTACCTGAGAAGTGTGAAGGTGCTGTTCACCATTTGCACATTGGGTGGCCATGGAAGATGTAAGGAAAGCCCTGGTGGATCAGGCCTAAGATCTGTCCTGTCTAGCATCCCGATCACAATAAGCTTGAAAAGGGTGCACCAGCTGTATGAGCCGAGTTGTGTGGAGGGAATTTTGTCAAGTGCAGTTTTTCTTACTCTGGGGTGACAAATGCACCAAACCAACATTCCCTCTTCCGCACAACTAATTGAAGGAACAGGAGCTCAGTCCTTTTTGGAAGCCGAAACCCCTGATTTCCTTCCCATACTCATTTTGGAAGGGCGCCAAGGATTAGCGGTTTATACAGTGGCATTCAGGAGAAGGAGAAAACAAAGAACCTAGCAGACTTGGAACAGCAAAAACCCTGATTCTCTTCTTTCCCCCTTGTGCTCCTACCAGAGCCTCCGCCACAAAGACACAATGGAAATCCAGGAGATGGACCTCAGAGAGATGGGTTCTGTGATCCAATCCCGCGTGGTCTTGGAGGTGTCCAGCCAGGTCCAGTCGCTCCTAGATTCCCTGGAGACCACCAAGCTAGAGATCGCCGTGACAGGCGAATCCGGCGCCGGCAAATCCACCTTCATCAACGCCCTGCTGGGGCTTAGCGACGGAGACCCCCGTGCTGCTGCTACCGGCGTCATCGAAACCACAGCCGTACCCACATCGTACTCTCATCCTCGTCTGCCCAGCGTCCTCCTGTGGGACCTGCCGGGCATTGGCACCCCATGCTTCCAAGCAGAGCGCTACCTGGAGCAGGTGGGTCTCGAGAGGTACGATTTCTTCATCATCATCGCCTCAGAGCGGTTCCGGGAGAACCACGTCAGGCTGGCCCGCGCCGTGGGCTCCATGGGCAAGCGTTTCTACTTTGTCCGCTCCAAGGTGGACCAGGACCTGAAGGCTTCACAGCGACGAAGGCCAGCCCGTTTTGAGGAGGCTCAGGTGCTGCGGGAGATAGAGGCGGACTGCCTCCGCCAGCTGCGGAATGAAGGGCTGGATTCGCCCAAGGTCTTCCTGGTCTCCAGCTTCGAGCTGCACCGGTTTGACTTCCAGCGCTTGCAAGACACTCTGGCTGAGGAGCTCGAAGGCCACAAGAGACACGCCTTGCTGCTCTCCTTCCCTTGCGTCACGGCAGCAGCTGTGGAGAAGAAGAAGGCATCGCTGCGCAAGCACATCTGGAAGAAGGCGTTGCTGGCCTGCGCCGTCTCGGCCTTGCCTGGCCAGAACCTCCACCTCAACATCCCCATGCTCATGAAAACCCTACACTCCTACCGCAAGAGTTTCGGCCTGGACGACGAGTCCCTGGGGGTCTTGGCCCTCGTGGCCTCCAAGCCCCGCCATGAGTTGACCAGTCAGGTGTGCTCGGCATTGGGGAAGGATCTTTCAGAGAACGCCGTGCACGCTGTCCTGAGCCAAGCCGCCTTGTACGGCCAAGTGGCTGCCCGGGTGGTGAAGAACAAAGTGCCTCTTTTTGACAACATGGTAGCTGGGGCCATCTCTTTCGTGGGTGCCTATTACCTGCTGCACACCGCCCTTGATAGCTTTGCACAAGATGCCCAGAGGGTCCTAGGACGGGCCTTTGGTTTGGAGGATGAGGCTCAGGGCTACCCTCCGGAACCAGGATTTATTTTTGATTGAAGGTGGAGCAAGAGAGCTCCTTAAAAGTGCTTTGGGATCATAGGTGCCTCCCTGCACTCTTTTATCCACCAGTCCTGCTTCTTAGTCACTTAGGTCCAGCTAACCCAGGAAAACACAGTCAAAAGTCTTTGTGGGATGAACTTCACGTTGACAGTTCTATCCAAAAACCCTGATGCACCCGCTGATATAACTGCCTTCCAAGAATGGTGCTATGCTAACTGGAAAGATCTTCTGCAGTTCTACTAGTTATGGTGGGTTACTGTTATCAGAATCCTACATACAACGTCCAGTGATAGAACTTTTTGTGGAAAATAATAAATTGCCAAATAATAATAATAATAAAATCCCAATGCAAATTAATTCAGTTGGCCTTGGAAAATTTCCTGAGCCCCTCGAGTCATTGAATTCAGCATGCTTGTTTTTATTTGTGTTTCATAAATATAGCTAAAAACATTGATTAGAAGTCGGGCTTCCCTAATGCCATATTTGCAGTTGGCATCCACTGTTGCTAATGAACTGATGAAGTGGAAACATTTTTTTCCCAAATCACTGATGGTGAGTGCAATCACTTTGTTATCCTCCTGGAGCCAGGACAGTAGAACCCTGCAGATTTTGAAGCATTATAGAGCATCCACAGAAGGTCAGACTGGACGTAGTACCAATGGGATCATTCCTTCCTTTGCAGATCACAAGCATGGTACACATGGGTGCAATTCTGATCAGGTCCGCGGATGAAAGTCGTTTTCCACCCATGCCATGGCTTTGATATGGCTCACCAGCTATTTGCAACAGGAAACACAACAATCTGAAGGGCATGCCACATGACAGTGACAAATCCTAGTTCAGCCATAACTGCGGACAGGGTACCAAACTGGCTAGACAGTTTTCCAGTTGACTGTGATTGCAGGATGGGATGCAGAGAAGTACCATCGCTGTCTCCCTTTCTTTGCAGGATCTCTCCTTCTCAAGTGGCTACATCTGGGAGGGCTGGGAGAGATCATAACTCACAGAGACTGTGTTTGCTTCTGACTTGGCTTTAAATGCATTTAACAGAAAGGAATCTAGTGGGAGGCAGACCACAACACGATGGATTGGAGCCAGGAATGTGAAGATTGTGCGGTGACTCTGCCAAAGCACAGGGTTTTGATTGTGTGAAGCTAGAAGGAGAAGCAGCCCTTTAAATGGCGCAAACTGCCTCTCCTGTGGGAATCACTTTGCAAATGCAAACTTCAGGTGCACCTTCTATAACTCCACTCGGCTTGTTACCTTAACTTCAGAAATGACCAGTTCTAACATTGCAGACCCGGGACTGCATCGTCTGTGAGCAGATTTATTCTTAATAAGAGTCATCTTGTATTAAATAAAGTTGTGTGTGAGTGCGAGTTCTGGTCATCTTGTTCAGGTGCAGGCAGTAGCAATCTTCCTCTGATGTTCAGTAGATTGTGAGCCATTATCGTAGCGTGCCAGCTATCGAATCGTATTGACCATCTCATGAACTTTTTGAAAGTAATAATTGATTTTCAAGTTAGCAATCTCTGTATTGTGAGTCTTAATCCAGGGCAATCGCTTATTAGTTTGATCAGCAAGGAAAATATATTTCTATAACATCTATGTTTTTACAAAGTAAAGGGCATGTCTAACCAATAAATTTTTCTATTTTTCTGCATATGCTGCCTTTGTGACTTGTTCATTGTATCCTTGGGGTCAAGGAGACTCTTGTGAAGTAAACAAAGAGGCAGTGTGCAATACACAGGGAACATCTGAGAGATCACATCCTTCTCCACAGACCCCCTCGGGTGGTGCGATTCGCTGAGGAGGCCCTCTTGTTAGCTTGACTGCCTTGAAAGCTTCGGGGGGGGGGGTGCCGCCCAGCAAAGGGCCTTCTCTGTGGCACCCCCTAAATTGTGGATCTCCCTCCCCGCAGACGTTCATCTGGCTCCTTCACTGTATGATTTCCATCAAATTCTGAAGACGCACTTCCTTATACTGCTGTTTGACATTTGAGATGTATAGTTTTAGTGCTTACCGTTGGCCTGATCCAATGGGCTTGTGTTCTTAGTTACCAAAAAGTAAAGCAGAAAGTTCCACGTTACAGGGCTTTCCTGCTGCCGGTTAGCTTAGATGGGGACACCTCAGCAAATTCTCCTGGTGAAAACGTAACTCCCATTTCCATCAATTCCACAGCAAGTTGTGATTCTGCTTCAAGCTTAGGTCACCACTAGTGTCCAATGCTTTAAATGCAGGTGTGCAAGAGGACTTCTCTCCCTTGTCCTATAGCACTGCCATTTCTCCTCCTCCTGATGTTGAGGCTGTGTGTGGTGTCGCTTATGAAGTCTGAATGACACCAGTGCACAGGGCATCAAACCCCTTGGTTTGCAGAACAAAGCTATGTGGGGGTAGCCACAAAGGGGAGGAGAAACCCGTAAAATAGCACAATGGGTACTGAGAAGACTTGGTAGCCATATTTTGCTAAATGAGTGGGTTAGGGAATGGGAAATTCAGCCTGGGGAGGGAATGGAGTTCTTGTAATCCTAAATAGCAGAACTTCATACTGCAACATTTCGTTGCATACCCTGTTTTAGCTACAAGGAAAACGACTTCTTTATAGATATCAGCCATAGAAGCCTCCGTACAGAAAAGGGTAGTTCCCCAACCCTGTTGTAAGTTTTGCAAAAGTTTGTTTTGCCTTGTGCAAGGGTTTCTGGAGCTCGCTAGATGGCAATCTTTCCTTTGTTTACTGCTGATGCTATATTATACATATAATCACCAGGGGATACTGTGCCACTTTATTTGGGTGACTGTCAGTATCAGGATTTCCCCCCTCCCCCTAGGTCTTATTTTTTCCAATCCTAAATTCAGTACTCCACATTAGTTGTTCTTTTTTAATCCTCATGAAAATTCACCAGCAGTTTAATGCAAATTTCTAATATATCACTTTTGGTATGCAATTCTTCCTAGTTAATACGGGGGGGGGGGAAATGTTTTGCAAAGCACTGTTCCCTAATACAATGCATTTCCTTGTTGTCGTCCGTCGGCTCCCCCCCCCCTTTAATATTTATATGCATACAGACCAAAGAACAGGGAAGAGATCTTGTTCCTTGCTGGCATAGGATTCTGAGGGGGAGAGCTTAACACTCGCAGAAGGCACAGATCTCAAATCCCTGACTTCACGCTCTGTTTGCTCCTAGATCAGGTATACCCCTCCCGTCCCTTATTTTTCTTTCTCTTAGCCTGAGTCCGTGGAAAGTTACCGTGATCACTCTCCAGGTTTTCTTTACTCCATAGAATGAAGGGGTGTGTGTGCGCTTAACAACTATTTGCTGCCTGCATATCTGTAACCTTGCCATGAAAAGCAAGGTATATACCCTGCCTCTTCCTTGTAGTAAACCATTTTCTTCCTACTTTCTGGTGTGGCATAGCCTTAATTGGGCCTAAGAGTTGAAGGTGTACTCACATTTTAAATGGATGCACAGTCTGACTCAATGGATGCACAGTCTGACTCAGTGCAAAAGGTTCCACTCCACTCAGAGTTGCACACTGAATGCACACGTGTGGTCAACAGACAGGCCGTAAGTTCAAATGTACACGCCTTGGAAGCTTCCTCATTCCATGGCCAGAAGCCAATCACCCTGACAGCTGAATCTTGCTTTGGATAGCTGGCTAGCTGAAAGTGCTGGCTTAACAGACACTGATGCTTTGTTTGGTGTAAGGAACATGGGAAGACGCTTTCAGGGCTGGCGTATTAGGCGTAATGAGACCCTGCCTCAAGTGGTGAATGTTGCTGGGGCGGCAAGTGATAGAAAGGTGTTGAAGATAAAACTGAGCTTGCTACGTGGCCTTCTTTGCCCCGCCCCCAAGCTAGGTTGCCCACCCTCAGGGATGGCATTGTCCCATTGCGGTCTGGTGGGCTTTGAATCATATTGTCCTTTGCCTCAGGCAGCAAAATGCCATGAGCTGGTCCTAGCTGCCTTATACCATGCCAGATCATTGGGCGCATCTAGCTCACTGTTGTTTTCCACTCTGATAGGCAATAGCTTTCAGGTGAGGATCTTTCCCACCCCAATTAGGGGCTGGAAAACATTTTAAGCCCAAGGGCCACATTCCCTTACAGACAGTCTTTTGGGGGCCATGTGTTGGTAGTGGGCAGGGCCAGAGGGAAAAGTGGGCAGAGCAATTGAACTTTACCTGTGCCCAGTTGGCTTGTTTCACATGCACTCCCATGCCTCTCTCTATCCTCCACGCTGGGAAGCAAGAGACGTTAGCAGAGTTTGAGACTGCATTTGAGCCAGGCAAAAACGATCAAGAGGTGTGTGCAAAGCAGAACCAGACCAGGGGATGTCATTCTGGGTCTAGAGAGAGTCCCAAGGGCCATATGGCAAGGGCTGGTGGTCTGCATCTGCTTGCTGGGTCTGAGGCCCTTCATCTCTGGTGTATGTGATAGTAGTAGACTGGAGCATAGCTGTCAACTTACAGATTTGAAAATAAGGGACCAGCAGCCTTGAAAATAAGGGACCAGCAGCCAAAAGAAGGGACCTGCAGCCTCACCTGTTCCAGGCACTCCAGTCTTCCTGTCCTCCTGCAGTCTGGTCAAACTCATGCTGGTAGCTTCGAGAACACTGTCCAACCAACTTTGTAACCAGAGGTTCAACTGAATAGAATCTGAATCACATGCACCACAAGGCCTATGCAGCCTCAACTTAAGATGGCTCCCTGGCCTGGCTTTGCACTGCAAAGTTTGCAGCAGCACGTGCAACAAAATGGCGTCCAGCATTCAAAACCCCCCTCAGCTTGCATTAACTAGCCACACACAAGGCATGCAAGCTCCACCCCCAGTCGTTCTTAGACTTCTTATTGGGTGAGCAACACAGCCAAGCAACACAGTTGGAGCCTCCCTCCTCCCTGGCTGGCAGGGAGGGAGGGAGAGGAGCTGCTTCCTTTGAAATTTAAGGGACATCATTTAAGGGACATCCATCAATAAGGGACAGCAGCGGGACATGGCACTGGAATAAGGGACTGTCCCTTCAAATAAGGGACACTTGACAGCTATGGACTGGAGTCATAGATTGGCTGGAGGCAGAGCAGTGGGAGGCAACTGTTATGTACTGAAGTTCTCACCCTGGGCCAGCAGGGGGATACTGTAGATAGTTATGCAAATGAAGGATCGAAAAGTGACGTTCAGTGATTGGATAGTTTTAGAAAATGGCAACAGTTGCATTGTTCTGGAGCTCTATATAAGCAGGCTGACTGAGCTCCTCAGCCTAGTTCTGTTCTGACACCTGAATAAAGAAGAGCTGTTTGAAGAATTGCTGTGTCGTCTGCTATGTTCGCCCACAACTTAACAGCAACAGCTAGGAAACCCCCAGGGGGAGAAGGCTCAGAGCCCAGGGAATGGTAGTGAGACAACGATGCCGGGTCACAGGGAAAAGATGGAGCAGACTGGGAGGAGGAAGTGTCAGAAGCCGAAAAGGCAACAGGGTTTCGTGAGCAGAAAGAGACTCTGGCAGAGAGCAGTCCAGAATCAGAGGCAGGAGAGGAGGGGGGGCAGGAGACAGAGATGAGGCAGGCGGCCAAAGAATCCAGGGAGTCTCCCCCTCCTGCTGCGACCATCTCTCCCCCCTAGTGTTTCAGCACATGAAAAGGAATGAAGAGAGTGGAGCAAAGAGAGACAAGACACAAGAGCTTCAGGTTGCTAGAACCAGGGGAGGAGTTTTAGAAAGCTGTGAAAGTTTAGGGACCTTCAGTCCCCGCAAGACCTACTGGGTAGAGTTGCTGCCATCACTAGGCCTGAGTTGTTTTGTGGTTTTTTTGAATAAAGAGTTAACTTCACTGACACTGGTGTGTTGAGAGCCAGTGTGGTGTAGTGGCTAAGAGCAGTAGTCTTGCAATCTGGGGAACCGGGTTCACGTCTCCGCTCCTCCACATGCAGCTGCTGGGTGACCTTGGGCCAGTCACACTTCTTTGAAGTCTCTCAGCCCCACTCACCTCACAGAGTGTTTGTTGTGGGGGAGGAAGGGAAAGGAGAATGTTAGCGGCTTTGAGACTCCTTAAAGGGAGTGAAAGGCGGGATATTGAATCCAAACTCTTCTTCTTCTTCTTTATTGCTTACCGACTCTTGACTCTGGCTCCTGACAACTAGATGGGCAAATAGTCTGACCAAGCATATAAATCTCACACCCTTCATTCCTAGCCAGTGGTCTGCTAGTGGGCCATTTGGCTATAATTTGGGGGGGGGGGGAGAATGTATCATCCATCCAATTGACAAACTGGCCTTGCTTGTGATCTATTGCTGATCATGTATCATGATGACTTTTCCTTTTCAAATAACGCTGTGTGTAGGTAGGAATTAGGAAATCCCCAGTTCTTAAAAAGGGCGTGCACACTTCTTGTTGCCTGTGAACTCTGGTTATCCCCGGTTAGCTATGTTCTCCTAATTTTTACAGCTTGTCCTTCTGTCAGAATGGTGCTCTTTATGAGAGGTGAGAGTGTTTGCCGTGAACAAATGTTTGCAGAAAGCTGCCAAATGAGTCCAAAGTCTCCTTTGCTATTTTGGTCTTCTTCCAGCTATCCTATGACCAGTATGCTGCCATTAGAGTGCATGTGCCTTTGCTTTCAAGAACAATGGGGGAAGAGATGCCAAAAGTCCTGGTCTTCCCACCCCATCTTTC